GTCTTCTCCAGCTGCGGGATTTCATCCTGTGCTTCTGTTCCCCTCTTAGACGATAACAGCAACCAGAGCTCCATAGCAGATGCCTCCCCCATCAAACAGGAAAACAGCAGCAACTCAAGCCCCGCTCCAGAGCCCAGCTCGGCTGTGCCTGGCGACGGCACCGAGGCCAAGGCGGATGAGGCCCAGGCCGATGGGAAGGAGCATCCTGGAGCTGAAGGTATGTGCCTTCGGTGGGCTGGGGCTCCGAGGGGCTGCTCTCCAGCCAGCCTCAGTCAGGCCACCGACAGGTATTCAAGGAGGCCTTGCCATGTGCTAGTCCCATATAATGACAGTAGAAGAAACATGGCACCTGGAACACATCATCTCGTGAAGCAATTAAAATATCAGACCATCTGACGGGCGCAGTGGCTCACACCTGTAATCTCAACACTTGGAGAGGCAGAGGCAAGAGAATTGCCTGAGTCCACTGGTTCGAGACCTGCCTGGGCAACATGGTAAGACCTCATCTCGACGCTAAACCAAAAGTTAACTGGGCGTGGTGGCCCACGCCTGTAGTTCCAGCTACTTGGAAGGCTGAAGCGGAAGGATCGCCTGAGCCCAGCAGGTCGAGGCTGCAGTGACCGGGAGCGTAGCAGGGAGGCTACAGTGAGCCATGACTGCACCATTGCACTCCATCCCGGACAACAGAGTGAGACTCCAACTCAAACATAAGTAAATAAATTAAAAAAATGAAATATTAGGCAATCTAGTATTTTGGAAAATACCTGTGGTGGAGAGTAACGGAGCAGGAAGCGGGGGGGGTGGAGTCTTGCCGAGTGATGGGAGGTGTTGGCAGTTTTAAGTAGGGTGGACAGTGAAGGCACCACTGAGAAGGTGACGTCAGCGCCAGCGAGGCTCAGACTGAGCGAGTGAGCACGCCACATGGCTCTCTGGGTGAAGAGCGCTGCCGGCAGAGGGACAAGTCGTGCAGAGGCCCAAGGCAGGAGTGTGTGCAGCAAGGCTGAAGAAGAGTGCAGCTGAGGGGCTAGGAGATAAGATGGGATCAGAGAGGAGGCAGGGCCTTGGGTGTGGGGAGCTCGTAAGGCCATTGCCTGACCCGGCAGCCACTGGGGGTTTGGTTAGTGTGACCTGAAGGACTGAGAATGAGTGATGGAGGGTGAGGGCAGAGTGGGAGGCCCAGTGAGAGGGTCGCTGCGGTGGTCCAGGTGGGAGAGGATGGCAGCTGGACCAGGGCGGGAGCAGAGGAGAGGTGTGAGGCGTGGTCAAATTGTGGAGGGAGGGGGTGTGTGTGTGTGTGTGTTTGAGTTGCTACAGAAAAATTGAAAGAATAACATAATCCTCTTCTATGTATCCACCTCCTGAACTCAGCAATTGGAGTTTGGATTTTTGTTGTTGTTGTTGTTGGTTTTTTGTTTTGTTTTGTTTTATTTTTTTGAGTTGCAGACTGGAGTGCAGTGACCGCTCCCAGCCACCGCAGCCTCGACCTGCTGGGCTCCAGCAGTCCTTACGCCTCAGCCTTCCAAGTAGCTGGAACTACAGGCGTGCGCTACCACGCCCGGCTAATTTTTTTATTTATTGTAGAGATG